TCTGGGCCCTGAAAGTGTAAGCAGAGGCCTTGCTGGGCCATGGTAGCACGGACACTTCTAGACTTCCCTCAGCCGACATTCGGAGACCCCTGCCAGTAGAGGCTGATGATGTCTCTTGGGGCCGCCTCTGGGAGGAAGCCAGGTCTGGGGAGCCCTGCCCCGCGCCCCTGGACAGACACATCTGACCCTTCCCTGCTGTCTTTTGCAGGTCCCTCCAGAGGTAGGTCTGGCTCCTGACTCACCGGGATTGAGCTGCCCCCAGCACACAGGGCAGGCACTGCCCGGCCGAAAAGTCCACCCTACTTGAACTTCCCCCCTTCCCCACAACCCTGCAGTCCTTGCCCTTCCCCACCCCGCGCTTGTTCAGCAGGCAGGGAGCTCCTGAAGCAGCGGGATTTGAACCCGGGTCCTCAGAGAGCCCCACTCAGAGGGGCTCACAGGAGGCTCTTCCTGTCTTGGTGTGGGGGGTGGAGCACCAGCTGGGAGGAGTGGTCTGTACCCTTGAGGCTGTTCAGGCTGGTGAGGTGGGCATGGGGGGCCTTGAGCCTTCAGCCCAGGGAGGCGCCTGGTGGAAACGGGGTGGTCAGGGCCGTAGCCCCCCGGGGCTGGAGCTGGGGTTGGGGGAGTTCAGCTGAGGGCAGCTGCTGCAGCCCTGCTCTTCCCGCCCCCAGCTGGTGGGCCAGCCCGCCCTGCACCTGAAGCGAGACTTCTTCCTGGCCAACGCGTCCAGGGCGCGCTCGGAGCAGTTCATCAACCTGCGCGAGGTCAGCACCCGCTTCCGCCTGCCGCCTGGAGAGTACGTGGTGGTGCCCTCCACCTTCGAGCCCAACAAGGAGGGCGACTTCGTGCTGCGCTTCTTCTCCGAGAAGAGGGCAGGGACCGAGTGAGTGGTGGCTGGGTGCTCCCGGCAGCTCCCGTCCCAACCCCCAACTTCCCCCTTTGGGGCCTCGCCCCACCAATCAGCCCCCTCCTCCTTTTTCCTGTCTGCAGGGAGCTGGATGACCAGATCCAGGCCAATCTCCCTGATGAGGTAGTGTCCCACCCCTCCACCAGGCGCCCCCTCACCACCCCACCTCCACCCTATCCCTATCCCACACTGGGCTGCAACCAGGTGGGCGGGGACAGAGCCCCCCTCACCTGCTCCCCTCCTCTGCACAGCAAGTCCTCTCCGAAGAGGAGATTGATGAGAACTTCAAGGCCCTCTTCCGACAGCTGGCGGGGGAGGTACGTGGGGTCCCCGTGGGGTGGGGCAGGTGGCACTGGGGTCCAGCTGGGCCTGGCACAAGTGAGGTCAGCCTCTGGTGTCTCCCCCCAGGACATGGAGATCAGTGTGCGGGAACTCCAGACCATCCTCAACAGGATCATCAGCAAACGTGAGTGCCCAGGCACTGTCCCCAGTGTCACCTGCCCGCCCCTGCCCTGCCCTGCCCTGCCCCATCCACCAGCCCCCCAGTGTCACCTGCCCTGATCCTGCCCTGTCCCATCCGACCCCACCCCCCCAGCTTCATTTCACGTTGGCTGAACCCTGCTGGCTTGGTAGCTGCCATGCTGTGCCCCATGTTGTCGCACAATGGGACCTGCTCAGCATGTTGCATGTCCCAGGCTGAGGTGACAGAATGGCTTTCTTGCAGACAAGGACCTGCGGACCAAGGGCTTCAGCCTGGAGTCGTGCCGAAGCATGGTGAACCTCATGGATGTATCCTTGGGGCAGGCTGACTCCCAGCACTGCCCAGGGCAGGGTAGGGGAGGCTGTCAGCTGGAGGCAGGCGCTGCGTGGGCTGTGCCAAGGACCCGGCAGACAGTAGGACAGGTGTCCACAATCAGACAGCCTCACTGGCATTTTCGGGTTGATTTGGAAGTGGAAGGGGAGAAACTGAGAGAGGAACCTGCGTCGTGTCCTCCGCCCATCCCACTGTATTCCGGGTCCAGGTAGGGGTGCTCTTTCTTCTTTAACACCTGCCCAGCGTGATGGCAATGGGAAACTGGGCCTGGTGGAGTTCAATGTCCTGTGGAACCGTATCCGGAACTACCTGGTGGGTGCCCCGCCGTTCCCATCTCTCTTCCCACAGCTCAGCCCTGCCCCCTGCCCAGCCTTACCTCCCCAAGGTGGCCACTTGTCCCTGAGCTCACATGGCCAGTCACCAGACATCAACCTGGGCACACGCAGGAAGGGCTGGACCCTGACCCTTCCTCCCGTGGGCCCCTCCCCAGGCCGTCTTCCGAAAGTTTGACCTGGACAAGTCAGGCAGCATGAGCGCCTATGAGATGCGCATGGCCATTGAGTCTGCAGGTAAGGCCTAGTAGGCTGGTGACAGCTGCTCCCGTGCCCCCAGCTGCTGCCCTGGCACCTACCTTGGGGAGCCCGTGCTGGTGCCGGTCATTGTGGCCAGGGCCACTTTCACGGAGGCTCCCAGAGGGACAATCACTGACCTGGGACCACACAGCGGGGAGGACCTGGGCCAGGCTGCAGAGTGCCAGTGGGAGGGGCACTGACTTAACCACGGACTCCCCTACCCCCTGAGGCCCCGGGCGCCTAGCAGCCTGGCCAGTTTTGAGCCCCCCATCCCACCCTGCCAGGCTTCAAGCTCAACAAGAAGCTGTATGAGCTGATCATCACACGCTACTCAGAGCCGGACCTGGCAGTGGACTTCGACAACTTCGTGTGCTGCCTGGTGCGGCTAGAGACCATGTTCCGTAAGTGTCTCTTGCTGGCTGCCCGCTCGCGGTGCCCGAGGGCTGGGCGGGTGTGGTGGGCGTGCCCTGGGTCACCTGGGGGCTGTGGATGGAGGAGGGGCCCTGCCCCACATGCACACCCCACTGAGTCACATCCTTTCTCGAACACGCAGGGTTTTTTAAGACTCTGGACACCGACCTGGATGGCGTTGTGACCTTTGACCTGTTCAAGGTGGGAACCTCGTGCAGGGGTCACGGGAGGGAGGCCGGGTGGATGGACTCCCTTACCTCGTCTGTGTCCTCCTGTCCCTTCTTGGGCCCCGGCCTGTGGCCTCACGCCCTAATGGCAGGGTCACCTTAGTGCTAGAAGTCGGGGGGGGGGTTCTGGGAAGGGAGTGGGATGGCAGGGGGTGGAGGGTGTCTCCTGGATGAAGGGCTGGGTGGTGCCTTCAGGGCCTGGGTGGAGGGGGTGCCCAGGCAGGCACTGAGCGGCTGCCTGGCCCCTCCCCACAGTGGCTGCAGCTGACCATGTTCGCCTAAGACGGGCTCAGGTCCCTCTCACTTCCTCCTGCTCTCGTCTGCCAAGCCACGCCTTCCTGCCATGCCAGGCCAGTCCTTGCCAGGTCACGCCCCGCCCCGCCAGCTACAAGTGCCTTCCCTGGAGTCGGGAGGCAGTCTTCCTGCCCGGCTTCCCCCTAGCTGCCAATGCCATCGCCACTGCTGCCAGGGGGTCGTGTCATCCTTCCTGCCCCAGCCAGCTGTGGGCATGGGAAGGATGCCCCAGCTCTGCTGTCGCCCAGCCGGAAAGGTGGCGTCTGCTACCCCCCCAGCATCCTACAGTGTCCCCTGCTGTCACTGCAGAGGCGCCCCCACCCTCCGCCTCTCCTGCAGACTCCACCATAACCACTAGCTGGGCAGGGCGTGTCACGCCCGCGGGCTGGGCCACTTGTGCCTTCCTCACAGAGCCCGTGCCCCGCCCCCACTCTCCCCTGCTGCCCAGCCCTTGCCCGCTCTTGCCCAGCTCCAGGCCCCCCCACCTCCTTTTTTATATTGGGGATTTTAAAGGGAACTCTTCAGGTACTGGGCATAGGGATGCCAGAGGCACTGGGGTGGGGGAGGCACATGTCCCCATGTGGGGGAATCCCAAATAATAAAGGAAAAGGCCCCACGGCAGCGTCTGGAATGTCTCACGTGTCTGGCTGTTTCCCTTCCCCTTCCCCTCCCCCTTTCACACCCGATGGAGCATGGGGCATCTGGGTGAGGCCTCTCTGGCCCAAGTTCCAGCTACAGGGCCACACAGCTGAGGACCCACGTGGCCCCAGAGGCCTGGCTCCTCCTTGCCTTGTGGCACACTCCTGCCCCAGGGTGGGGGGTGAGGCTCCCACCTCCAGTGGGAACCCAAACCCCTACTTAGCACTGACCTGGCCTCCTCCCCCCGGGAGCTCCTTCCAGCTCTTGTCACAGGTGGGGCTGTCCTTGTGGCCCAGACACCTGTGTTTATGTAAGCATCCAGGGTTCAGGGACTTCTGGGGTTCCGGTTTTTCTTACCCGAGATAAGAACTGGCTCTGAGCTTGGAGTGGGGTAGGCCGAGAGGGCAGGACAGAGCCGGAGGAAGGGAGTGAGAGCAGAGGCAGGCACTCTGGTGTGGAGATGCAGCTGGGCCTCCTGCATGGGCTGCACCTGCCATCCAAAGCCATCATTTTGCCTCACATCTCCCTGGGAAGCCCCAGCTGGGAGGGGTTGGTATGGAAGAGCAGCTCAAACTCCATTCTTCCCTCCCCAACCCATCCTTCTCTGGCGAGCGTTATTTGAGTGGAGGCTAGGGCGTCCCAGAGCTGGGATTCCCACAATCCCCAGTTCCCAAACTGAAGGCAGCAGGGTAGGGGTGGAAGGGCCCCGGGGGTCTCCAAAGCCTCCTCCGGGGGTACCCTGGCTGTTCATTCAGTGGGCAGGACTGGTGGCCATGACCACCAGTTCCCAGGGCACCTGACCTCAGGGTGCCATTTAGAGCCCAGCCACAGGGACTGTGTTCCAAGCCCAAGGCCAAGGTCAGGGTCCCTAAAGATGTCTCTGGGTGGCCTCCGGTAGTAAGCAAAGGTGGCAGCCTGGTGTCTCTGCCTGTTGGGGACAAGGAAGGTGACAGTACCACATCCCTGCGGGACCAGTGGGTCAGTTCCTCCAGGACTCGCTGCTGGGGTTGGCATAAGATGGAGGAGGCGATGCTGTGGGGCGGGCAGCCTCCTGGGAGGTGTAAGTGAATTCTGCAGGGCTGTGGGACCCAGGGCATGTGCCCTGCTCCTCCACCTCCTGGAGCCCAGCCCAGCCCAGCCCCTCTACTTAAGGCCCCTGGGGGCAGGCTGGGCTCAGATCAGGCCTGTGACCATGGCTTTCACAGACCTGCTGGATGCCCTGGGCGGTGTGGGCCGGTTCCAGCTGCTCTCCACCACCCTGCTGTTGCTGCCCTGCGGGCTGTTGGCCTGCCACAACTTCCTGCAGAACTTCACAGCCGCCATGCCGCCCCATCACTGCTGGGTACCTGCCAACCTCACCGAGGACACCGCCAACACTTCGGGTGCCTGGTTAAGGGCCATGGTACCTCTGGACCGGCGTGGGCTCCCCGAATCGTGCCGGCGCTTCACTGAGCCTCAGTGGGCCCTCCTGCACCCCAACGCCTCTAGCCTCGGGGCTGCCACAGAAAGCTGCAAGGACGGCTGGGTCTATGACCGCAGTGTCTTCCCGTCTACCATCGTGATGGAGGTCAGTGAGGGGCTGGACAGTGTGGGGGCTGCTGCCCGCAGGGTCCCCACCTCAAAGCTGAGAGTCCCTGTCTCCTCACAGTGGGACCTCGTGTGTGAGGCCCGCACGCTGCGGGACCTGGCTCAGTCCATCTACATGGCTGGGGTGCTGGTGGGTGCTGCCGTGTTTGGTGGCCTGGCAGACAGGTGAGCCTGGGGGGAGGGGCTTGGGGAGTCCCCCAGCCACCCACAGTCCTGGCCACAGCCCCCCACCATGTAGCCCCAAGCCTGCTTTAATCTTTGCATTGGAAGCTTCTCCGCAGTCCCTCCACCCCGTCCTCACCATCGTCCAGCCTACATCTGTCCGCATCAGAGGCCCCTTCCGCTGGATACCAAGCTCTTGGCCCTCTGATAAGCCCCTTCACTGTTCCTCTTTCTCCTCCCTTGCCTGTTCTTTTTTCTGTCCTTGCCACCCTCCTTACCCAGCCCAGATGAGCCCAGGGCATGTCCAGGTTCCAGTGCTGCCTGCATGTTTGGGACACATTGTGGGCACTCACTCCACCACGACCATCATCACACTCCTGTGAACCCACGTCCTATGCAGTGTCTTGCGTGTCGCTGGCCTTCAGCTCCAGCCCACCACCTCAACGTGCCCAGTGAACGTTTGCTTAACAGGCAGATCGCACACTGCTTGTTGGGGCTGTGTGTCCTTGCCCCAGACCTTCACTTGCAAGTGGGGCAGCACCCAGGCCGAAGCAGGCTCCTCTGCCAGGCTGGACCCCAACCCTTCTGTGATGCAGCCTTCCCTACAAGGCCAGTTCAAGAGTGGAGTTGACCTTGGATCCTGCCCCCATGACCAGGACAGGTTCACCCTGCTGTGAGTTCTGACACAAGGCCGCCAGCCAGAAGCAGGTGGAAGCAGCTTACCCCCTGCACACCAGCTCCTCCCCTCCCTTCTGCAGGGAACCTCCTCACTCCTGTGGCCTCCCCACTACCCGGTCCCTACACCCTGACTGGCCTCTGCCACCCATGTCTGTTCTGAGAGCAGTGCCCCCCACAGACCCCTACTTCCCACCCACGAGGCCCGGCCAGACTGCCACTCGGCCCCTCCTGGATGCCTAATATGCATGTTGTTTTGGGGACTTAGGCTGGGCCGCAAGGCGCCCCTGATCTGGTCCTACCTGCAGCTGGCGGTCTCGGGGGCTGCCACGGCCTACGTGAGCTCCTTCCGCGCCTACTGTGTCTTCCGCTTCCTGATGGGCATGACTTTCTCGGGCATCATCCTCAACTCGCTCTCGCTGGGTAAGGCCTGCATGTAGGTCCCCACCTGCTGGGCTCTTCTGTTTTCTTCTGCTGGGATTTCTGCGAGTAACCTCAGCTCACAACCTCCGACCTGGATGTTGGGCTCCAGAGAGCTGGCTCAGGGACGTGTGCGTGCCAGTGGTTACCATGACCACCAGGTCTCTGCTCGGTACTCCCCTGTAAGTGGAGAGGAGTCAGCTTACTCTGTAAATTAGCAGGGGTCTCCAAGACCCTCAGTCATGCTAGCCTTGGGGAGGGAAATGGGACCAGAACAAAGGGACTAATGAGACTACACACAGCCCCAAATCATGAGGGCTCCCCAAAGAGCAGGATTCTCCCGGGTGGTAAAGGTGCAGCCTCAGCTCCAAGGAGCAGGCACAAGCTCAGTTCTCATCGCAGTGGTCCCTGGTGGCCAGCAGGAAGCCCGCCTTGGACCCAGCCCTGACCCCTGCCTACATTTTGTTAGCTCTGTCATTTTCAGGAATCACTGCCACCCTCAGTCCAGCCAAGGACACAGCAGGTTTTGATTTTAGAGCTGAGACAGAGGAGCCAGGATGTACCTGCTGGGGGCACATGACCACCTCTGCCTCTCCCAGCTCCTGTGCACACATGGAGTTCCCAGCAGAGCCCTGGCCTACCCTCACCTCACTCTGCAAAGCAAGTGTCCAGGCACAGCTCAGGGCCAGGGCGTCAGGCCCCCCTCAGGCCACAATGATGGCCTGTACAACCCCACCCCCCATTGGAGAATGCTTGGGCCCTGAATGCCTCCTGTGACAGGTGCTCTACCTTGGGCCTGCTCAGCCTGCCCCCTCTATGGCTAATTGGTCTGGCGCCCTGAAGCTTCCTCTCACAGGTTTCCCCCTATGTTGGCGTCCATTTTTGTCCTCCCCTTGGTCACCGCACACACCTTTTTGCATCATGGTTTTTCTTATTGATGCTGCCCTGGCTTTGTTGTTGATCCAAGGCCTCCTATGACGTTATTCTAGGTACCAGAGATGCAGGCCCCTGCTGTGTAGAGCCTGGGTCCCAGAGCAGGATGGCACGCAGAGGGCACCATAGCTGAGCCAACTATGTAGTGCAGGGCTGTAATTTTAATCGCTTTCCTGAAAAGGAGTAATTTTGAGCCAAACTTGATGGAGCTGAGGAAGTAAGCCTGGCAGGTGTTTGAGGGTGGAACATTCCAGACAAAACACCCAGAGTGGAGGGTCATGTGCCCAGGGTCTAGAGCAGCAAGAGCAATGAAGGGCGTGCCTGTGGCCGGTGCTGAGGTTGGTGACAGATGAGGTCAGGGAGGGGATGCACCTTTATCTGGGGCCTCGTGGTCATTTTAAGGACTTGCTTTGGATGCTAAATGAGACGGGAGCCTCCGGAGAATTTTAGTTGGACAAGATCCCTGAGGCTGCTGGATGGGAATAAGGCAGAGTTGGGGAGGCCAAGGCACAGGCCATCACCACCATCCCGTGAGAGGAGGCTGAAGCTGGCCGCGGTGGTGACAGCAGCTGGGGCGAGCCCTGAGGCTGGCTCGGCCGAAGAGAGAGGCAGGAGAGCTTGCAAATGACTCAGGTGCATAGGCTCATGTTTGCGGAAGTGGGGTCCCAGTGCCCATGTTATATGGGTGCTTTGCGTGGGTGGTCACCTGGAATGAAGCCAGGCCCTTGTGATCAACGTTTAGGTCCGTGCGAGTTGTCAGAGTTCAGATGGAGTTGCTCGGGTCAATTCCTGGACAAATAAAGACACAAAGAACAGTAGGGAGGAGGGGTGGGCCTGCACCCCACATCTGACAACCGACTCAGGCCCTCGGGCCACCGACACCTGACCCAGGAAATCTCTTGGCAGGGACAGCTGCCCAACAGCCGCCTCCACAATCCTGGACCCTTGCCACCCTCACCAGGGACGAGGGTTTCAAATATCTTATACAACCCTTCTCATTTTTACCCTTAAAAACCCTAACCCTTGTCTTAATCTCTTGAATATGCTCAATTTACGACGGTATCGCATGCTGTGCCCTACTCCCAATTAATTTCCTTTAGAGTTTCTACTGTGCTTGTTATTGAGGTCGACAGTTTATTCCAAGTTTTGCTATTTCAAAAAAAAAAATTATGCTTTTTCTCTGCAAGAATGGGAACATACATCTCTTCACAGGACTGGCAAGAAACTACGCACTTTCCTTTGGGCTTATCGACCATTTTCCTGTTAATTTGTACGAATTCTTCCAGTGTTAGAAGAGTTGCAAATATTTTTTGCCTTTTTTTTTTTTTTTTTTTTGGCTGAGAGTGTCACTTTGCTTATGAGGTTTATTTTCCAGTGCAGATGTTTCTTATTTTTGTAAATTTGAATTTCCTGACTTTGTTTTTCCAATGATTGAATCTGAGTTTTGTTTGGGTTTTTAAGTCTTATTTTTTTTAAAGTCTTTTTTTAAAGATTTATTTATTTTTATTGGAAAGTCAGATTTACAAAGAGAAGGAGAGGACAGAGAGAAAGATCTTTTATGCACTAGTCAATTCCTCCAGTGGCTGCAATGGCCAAAGCTGAGCCGATCTGAAGCCAGGAGCCAGAAGCTTCTTCCGGGTCTCCCATGTGGGTACAGGGTCCCAAGGACTTCAACCATCCTCTGCTGCTTTCCCAGGCCACAAGTAGAATGGAAAAGGAGCATTTGGGATGCTGACACTGCAAGATAGAGGATTACTCTGTTGAGCAACTATACCAGTCCATAAGAGGTTTTATAATTTTTTTTTAATTCTTATCTTCAGATAAGATAAGGCAGAGTGACAGGGAGGGGAGCAGAAATCAGTCATTGGCTGAGTGGCTCATCAAATGCCCACAACAGCCAGGGCTGTGGTCAGGCCGTCCTGGATCTCCGGGCAGGTGTCCCTGCTGGGAGGTGGGGCCCATCACCTGCTGCCCACCGGGGTGTCCATGAGCAGGAAGTAGCCTGGACTTAGCCAGGCACTTTGATATGGGAGATGGGCATTGAAGGTGTGGCTTAACCCACTGTGCCCCACCACCCACTCCTGCATCTGGGGTTTGGACATTCTTGGAAAAGCCTTTCCCGCTTCCAGATTTGTTAACACAAGCAAACAAATGTATCACAATCTCTTCTAACTTTTCTGTGGCTTTAGTTCTTAGGCCCACATGGAATTTCCCCGGGGTGGGGGGCGGGCAGGAGTGAGGTACCCCAGTGGCAAGGAGCTATGGCCGGAGCAGCTTGGCCAGGGCAGGGGTCCGCTGAGCTCTGCTGTTCCTTCTGCAGTGGTGGAGTGGATGCCAGCGCGGGGCCGAACAGTGGCGGGCATCTTGCTGGGCTTCTCCTTCACCCTGGGGCAGCTTGTCCTGGCTGGAGTGGCCTACCTCATCCGGCCCTGGCGCTGGCTGCAGTTGGCTGTCTCAGCGCCCTTCCTGGTCTTTTTCTTCTATTCTTGGTATGTCTTCAGCCCATTGTGGCAGTGTGGCGGGGGTCAGGGGAGGTGCACCTTGCAGCCAAGCCCCTGCCTACCCGGCCCCGTGGGAGGTTGGGGATGGTGCCTTGGCACCTGCTGGCCTTGGTGGGGGATGCCAAGGGCTTCAGGTACCCATGGAGGCCTCTGAAGGTGCAGACAGCTCCAGGTAAAACCCTGCCAGGAGTGTGAGGCTCCGAGACATGCTGAGCCCTTCTACTTGTCTCTCATCCTCAAAGTGCTTCATAAGAGCGGGGACTTCAGTCCAACCCAGAGAGGTTCCATGTCTTACCCAAGGGGCTTGTTCACGTCCTGAGTCCCTTGTAATCTCTACCATAAGCTGCAAAGAAAGGGGCAAGTTGATATTTGCCACCAGCCCCGCCTTCCACCCTCAGGGCCAGGAGGATATTTCTGTTCAGAATCTGAATGAATGTGGGTGAAGGTGTGCAAGGATTTCAGGATTGGAGTGAACCACCTTCTCCCAACTCCATGCCCTCCATCCCTGGGTCCTCCTCTGCCTTCTCTGCCTCCCAGGTGGCTTCCAGAGTCGGGTCGTTGGCTCCTGCTGCACGGCAAGTCCCAGCAAGCTTTGCAGAACCTGCGCAAGGTGGCAGCGATGAATGGGAAAAAGGAGGAAGGCGAGAGGCTGACCCAGGAGGTGAGTGGATGGTCAGGAGGCAGCCTGGGAATAGGCTTGGGTCTTGCCAGCTGCCTCCATTTAGGCTAGGAATGAGCAGGTTCCTAGGAAGCTCTGGGCCAGCCAGGGGCTGGGACTAAACCAAGCAGGCTGAGTCCCCATGTGGGAAGGGGCTGTTAGCCTCCCAGAGGCTGTTTGAGCAGGGCTGAGTGGTTCATGCCTGGTTCATCAGACTGCGCATCCAAAAGGTGAGAAATAACCTCCCCCTCCACATTAGTACCTAATCAAGATATTAATGAAAGGATCAGAATGGATAAGTGTTGGCAAATCCATCACACACACACAGGCCATTTACTGTAAGATGGTTACTGGGACTCAAACTGGGCTATTCAATACAGGCTACTCAAGTCCCAGGCAGTGCCTTCATGACAGGCCCAATGCCTGCCCTGTTAAGCATGTTGATGGCCATGCACAATGATGCTAACAGCTTTGCATACGTCACCTCATTGAATGTCTCCTATTGGTCAATGAGGAAACTGATGTAAGTCCCCATCGGGGTGAGGTGAAGCGCCCCCCAGAAACACAGAGCACCCAGAGCAAGGGAGGGGATCATGCTGGAGCCTCAAAGCCCTGGCAGTTGCCCGCTGAGAGCCATCAGCAGCTGGACGAAGAGGAGCCTGCAGCCAGCCCCGGCTGCTCCCCGAGCAGGGATGCAGGGCTTCTGTGCTTTGGCTGTCCCTGACCAGAAGTTCCCTGCCCAGGTGGTGAACTCCTACATCCAGAGTGAGTTTGCGAGCGTCCGCACCTCCAGCTCCATCCTGGACCTCTTCCGAACTCCAGCCATCCGCAGGGTCACATGCTGCCTCGTGGGGGTCTGGTAGGTGGTGGGATCATGGCCGCATCTTGGATCTAAGGGGCTCTTCTAAAATGCTCACATGCCACTAGCAGGTGCGCCCTGTGAACTGCCTCACCCTACACCCTGCTCTGGCACCGGCCCTCCGCTGGGTGCTGAGGCTTGAAGATTCACAGTGTCACCCAGGCTGACGTGGGAAGGGCTGTTGGGAACCCCAAGCCTGCACCTCATCCCATCCTGTGCTCATTCCCATCCAGGGAATTCTGGGCAGTGTCCCGGGCTGGAACACCACTTGTAGGGCTGGTATTGTGGTATAGACGAGGCTGCCACTTGCAACGCTGACATACTGGTATTAGTTCCAAGTCCCGGCTGCTCCAGTCCCGCTCCCTGCTAATGCACTTGGGAAAGCAGTGGAAGGTGACCACGTGTTTGGGCCCCTGCCACCTGTGTGGGAGATTCAGGTGAAGCCCTTAGTTCAGTCCTAGTTATTGCAGAAATCTGGGGAGTGAACCAGCAGATGCAAGATCTCTCTGTCTCTCCCTCTCTCTCCTTATAACTCTTTTAAGTAACAAATTTAAAACAACAACAACAACAAAAAGACTGTTAGATCCAGAGGGGACAGGCAGGTAAGAATATTTTCCATTTTCCCCAACAGTTCTGAGAGGGACAACTGCTGAGGACTTCCTGTAGGAGATAGCATATGGGTTCAATTTATTTTTCAATGAAAAAATTAATTTTAGAGAGAAAGGGCGGGCAAGGCACATGCACAGAGAGAAAGCTGCCATCTGCTTGTCCACTCCCCAGGTGTCCACAACAGGCCAGGCTGAAGCCTGGAGGCAGGAACTCCACACAGGTCCCCCAGGTGGGCGGCAGGGACCCAAGTCCTCGAGCCGTCGCTGTTTCTGAGGGTGGCTCCGCCTTAGCTGGAAGCTGCAGTCAGGCATCAAACCCAGGTTCTCCACCGTGGGATGAGGGGGTGTCAGCTGGCAATCAGAACCAGCAGGCTACACGCCTGGCCCAGTTGCAGAATATTTTGAGCCACAGAATTGCAAAAGGGAAAGAAAGTGTTAAAAACGGAACATGTGATCCAATCCTCCCACCTACGCCACTCTCACCTCCCTGGCATTCCCAGCTGATCTTGCTCCATCCCTCTGGGAAGACTCCAGGCTGGAGCACAAGGCTGATCATCCCTGCCACCCCGAGGTGGGCAAGGCCTCATCTGCTGCCTTCCTAGATGCATTAGCAAGGAACAGAAGCAGAAGCCAAGACTCAAATCAGAATCCTTTTGGACGCTGGCGCTGCAGGTGACAAACACTAAGCCACAGTGCCAGCCCCAAATCGGAGGACTTTTAACTCCCAGAGAAGAGGTCTCCCTGTCTTCCATCCGTGTGGCTCCCATCCTGCGCCCAGGTCAGCGAACCATGGGGTCAAACAAGACCATTTTGCCACCTCTCCCAGGTTCTCCAACTCCGTGGCATACTACGGCCTGGCCATGGACCTGCACAAGTTTGGGCTCAGCATCCACCTGGTACAGGCTCTGTTTGGGGTCATTGACATCCCAGCCATGCTGGTGGCCACTGCCACCATGATCTACGTGGGTCGCCGGGTCACAGTGGCCTCCTTCCTCATTATGGCCGGGCTCATGGTGATCGCCAACATGTTTGTGCCCGAAGGTGAGTCGGCTGCGTCCGCCCTGGCCACCACCACCAGCCAAGACCCCCAAGATGCAGGGTGATAGAGGACTGGGAGCCTTGGGCACAATGGGCACTTTTCTGGGTCTGGAAAGGGAGTGTCATCCCATCAGGAGAATTAATGAAGCGTTCACTTTGGTGGCACCTGGAGCCATTGTGATAGCAGACAGGGAGGGGGTGGAAGGGGCAGTGGAGAAACTCCACCAAGGACCTGGGTCTGTTGGGCCCAACGCACAGGCCACAGGCCGTCAGCAGACACTCAGCAAATACGTGTGTCTCCCCTGAAGTCAGGGCAGGCAGCATGGGCAAGGATTATGATGTCAGGATCAGGCTGGCCCTGAAACAGTGGCTTGTCAGCTTGGGTGAGGTTCCCCGGTGTCCAGGCCCGTGCAGTGGGACTCTCTAGGAACTGGGGTCCCGCCCCAAGCAGCCAGGGCTGAGCTCCGTGATCCTGAGCGTGGGTGCCCACGTGAGACCCCAGCCTTGCCAGTCAAAAGGGAACCCAGCTTTATCACCGCGGCCTGGGTAGACTGCCCAACTTTTGTGCACTCCAATTTTGCACCTGTAAGATGCACAGATGGTATTGGTATTCTGATGCTTTTTAAAAATGCATTATTTCTAGATTCTGTATTGAGGTCATTTCATATATATGATATATATAATTGTATCGTTGGGGCTGCAAGGCATGTGTGTGGACACATGTGTATCGTCCTTCTGTGACACTCAGTAACTCATACTTCCAGTAGCCTGTTGCCCTTGGCATTCTACTACCAGATTTGAACCAACCTGGAGTTTCTCAACTCTGGCTACACTTTCGAATTCCTGGGAGACCTTTAGAAAAATACCTGGACTTGAGTCCAGTCCCAGGAGGCCTTGCCAGCCTGGGTCTGCTTGGGTGGGTGTGTTTTGTAAAATCTCTCCACCTGATCCCCTGGCTTCCTTGACCACTGTGGGACGTTCACTGGGTGTCTTGCTAGCCAGGTGCATGGGCAGCAGAATGCGTGCACCTGCCAGTTACAGAGGTAACTACAGACAGGTAATGAACCCTCTGGCGAGGCCCCCCACCACAGTCCCCTGACCACCCTGGGGAGCCTCATCTGACATATACAGATGGCAAGACTCAGAGGAGGTTAGCAGCTGAGGTCAAGGTCGCCCAGCAAAAGCCCACATGCCCCTAAGCTTCACACTGTCTCCTGTCCCGCCCTCACCCCTCCTGAGACACCTGGACCCCTCAGCCCTCTGCCGCCCCCAGCTCTGCCTCTCTCTGCCCTAGCCATGCAGACCCTGCGCACCACCCAGGCGGCCCTCGGCAAAGGCTGCCTGGCTAGCGCCTTCATCTGCGTGTACTTGTTCACGGGCGAGCTGTACCCCACGGAGATCAGGTGCGCCTACACAGTGGGGAGTGTCTTACCCAGCCCTCTGACCTCCCTGCTGGTCCTCCGGTCCCTGGCCATGGCCCCTCTGACGTGCCCTTGTGCCTCCCACAGGCAGATGGGCATGGGCTTCTCTTCGGTCAGCGCCCGCCTCGGGGGCCTAGCCGCACCCCTGGTCACCACACTCGGGGAGGTCAGTGCCTTCCTGCCACCCGTGAGCTTCGGGGCCACCTCGATCCTGGCCGGGCTCACGGTGCTCTGCTTCCTGACCGAGACCCGCAACATGCCGCTGCTGGAGACAATCGAGGCGATGGAGAGGAGGTGGGAATCCCGAGCCCAGCAGCGGGGGCGAGTGGGGGGAGACGACGCAGCAATGGAGAGGAGGTGGGGATCCCGAGCCCAGCAGCGGGGGCGAGTGGGGGAGACGATGCAGCAAGGGGACACTGGGTGGCAAATGAAGCCTGGCAACAAACACTGATGGAGCAGGGTTTCCCTTGGTTCTGAGCTGGCGCTGATGCATAGCAGAAGGTGAGGCAGCCAACGGCCCCCTTCCCGCAGCCAGCGAAGGAAAGGAGTTGCGAGTTTGTGAGCCAAATCCAACTTTCCATATGAGTAACCCTAGAAGACCTTCCTGGCCTTACAGATGAGCCCAGGGCCCGCGAGTCCTGGACACTGCTCCTAAAATAAATGCAGGACAGGGTGTGGCTCTGACACTTTAGTCAGCAACGGGGGGCTCCGTGGAGATCCTTCCATTTTGGGAAACTAGAATGGACACAGAAGGACCCACGTGAACCAATGCCCAAACGGAATGCCAGCTGTAGGTGGTGGCTTTCCCTGCTACGCATGCCATGGGACCAGTCCCTGGAATTCTGATTTTAGATCATGTGACTTTCTTTGATGCTGATGCCAAGAGCAATTAATCATAAAATTATTGTATGTTGTTTAATTGAATATGAACCAATTTAAATTGGGGTAAGATTTATTTTTATGTATTTGAAAGGTAGAACTGCAGCAAAAGAGTGAAGGAGAGAAGGAGAAACAGAGAGAACTTCCACCTGCTGGTTCACTCCCCAAATGACTGCAGCACCAGGGCCGGGCCAGGCTGAAGCCAGCAGCCTGGAACTGCCCCCAGGTCTCCTGCATGAGTGCCGCAGCCACCTTCTGCTGCTTTCCCCAGGAACACTAACAGGGAGCTGGATTGGAAGTGGAGCAACCAGCACTTCATTGGTGCTCACTGGCATTGCAGGTGGCAGTTTAACCAGCCAGGCCACCACACCGGCCATTAGGACAGATGGTTGGCATAGCAGTAGATACTCCTTGGGATGTTTATATCCCCCAAAGGGGTTCCTGGGTTCAAATCCCAGCTCTCCATTCCAGCTCCCTGCTAACACCCTGGCAGGCTTGAATCAAGCTCCTGGCCTTGCTTTTGGTCTAGTCCAGCCCAGGGGAGTGAACTGGTGAATAGGAAATTTCCATCTGTCTCCATCTTTCTGCCTTTCAAATAAAAATAAATGAATGAGAAAGAAAAAAGCTGAAAACTTTGTCAGTCTCCTTAGCATTAGTAACTCTCAGCCTTCTGGAGTCTGAGTGGTAAAGATTTTTCATTTTTTTCTTTTTTAACTTAAAAAAAAAAAAAGATGTAGGAGTCAGCATCGGGACAAGGTGGCTTAAGCCATGTGGCCCTGGCATCCCATAGGGAGTGCCTGCCCACGTAGGAGACCCAGAAGAAGCTCCTGGCTCCTGGCTTCGGATTGGCTCAGCTCTGGCTGTTTGGCCCTTTGAGGAGTGAACCAGTAGGTGGAAGATCTGTGTGTTCTTGTCATTAGAATCAGATCAACTTTTTAAAAAATGTTCAAACATTGAGGATGTCCCCCAAAACAGAATTAACTAAAAGCAGAAAAGAGGCATGGGCACGACACACAAAGGGTCAAGCCAGGAAGATGACGGGACGGAGACAAAAGGATGGCAGGCAGAATTCCATGTGCCCATGTGACGGGACACTGGGAATCAGAGAGCTGACAAAGAAATGACCACAATGGAGCCAGGCCTAAGGACAGAAAACCTGTCAGGCACTCGGGGTGCCCCGGGATGGTACAGTCCCAAAGTCCAGGGTAGCCCACGCTCTGGAAGAACAGTCCAGGGCCTCCACCCAGGTACCCCTCGCCTGGGGAAGAGGGCACTGGTGGTGCCTAGGCCCTGGAGTCTCTGCTGGTGCCCCTGCAGACCAGTGTGCCCAAGGCCAGCCCTGTCGCTGGCGGGGCACCTGGGCTGCGTGTGAGGCTTCCGCAGCCTCATCTTGCTTGGTCTTCCTAACCTGTAGTTTCTCCAAGGCCCTGGGCAGCCAGGCCAGTCTCTGCTGCCTCCTCCCGGGAGCCCTCAGTGGGGTGGAGTAGAGAGTGGAGGTGCAGTGGGAAGGCTGATGCGAGAGCCCCCTCTGGGTGCCCTGGGGGAGCCCCAGGAACTGTCTCTCTTGGGACACGGTGGGGCACAGGCGACTCACCTGAGGCACCGCCACATGAAGCACGCACACCTGTCACCATCCTTCCTGCTCATCTTCCTGTTCCAACAGAGGCCGAGCAGGCCGTCGTGGGACAGCCACAGGAGGGAAGACTGAGGACGTCTCTCAGCCGCTGGAAGCTTCGCCCCTCAAACATGCCATCTAAACTCCCAGGTGCCTGGTACCCTCTGCGGTTCCTCAGCCGGGCCTCTCACCTGCTCCTCCAACACCCCAGGGCGAGGTCAGCCAAAGAACGTGGTGGCCTTTGCCTGAGAGCCACCCACCCTCAGAGCAGCCCCAGCCAGCGACAGCCCATGTGCCTCACAAACAGCTCAACCCCACATCCGGGAGCCCCAACAACAAAAGGGCTGTGGAGGCAGCCATTGGCTCCTGCACTTCAGACGCTGGCCAAGATGGACCCATGTGCCATAGCTGAGCCCCTGAGCTGGATGCCAGCTTGCTGCTCATGCAAGGCAGGGAGGCAGCAGTGGTGGCCCAGCTGATGGGGCTCCTGCTACCTGTACGGGAGACCCAGATGCAGTTACCTGGTCCTGGCTCCAGCCCTGGCCCAGCTCCAGTCATGGAGGGCACTTGAGGAGGGACCAGAAGATGGGAGCTCTCTGTCCCTCTCAAATAATAATAGTAGTAGTAGTAATAATAATAATAATTGATATTGTTTCAAAATACTGTTTTCTTTTCCATCTCTGAATCTGCCCCTAAAACACCTTGCTCATTCTTGTTGCACTGGACACAATGCAATGGAATTGTCTCTGGATGGCTCCTTGTGTCCACCCAGCTCCCTGCTTGTGGCCTGGGAAGGCAGTTGAGGATGGCCCGAAGCCTTGGGACCCTGTACCTGTGTGGGAGACCTGGAAGAGGCAAGGTCCCAAGAATTTGGGCCATCCTCAACTGTTTTTCCAGGCCACAAGCAGGGAGTTGGATGGGAAGCAGGGCCTCCAGGGTTAGAATTGGCACCCATATGGGATCCTGGCATGTTCAAGGCAAGGACTTTAGTTGCTAGGCCAACACACCAGGCCCATAAAATAACTCTTGAAAAAATTTATAAAGAAAGTTCTGGAGCCCATTTCATCTGACAGTAAATGCTGGCACAGTAGGTCAAGCTGCTGCCTGTAATACTCTCAGCCCTTATCAAAGTGTGATCGTGTCCCAGCTGCTCTATTTCCTATCCAACTCCCTGTTACCGCACCTGGCACCTGGGAGGGCCCAGGCGACTGGGTCTCTGTACCTACCTGGGAGACCCGGAGGACGCATCAGGTTCCCCATCCTTGCCATCGCAGCCGTTTGGAGGAGTAAACCAGCAGATGGTGGGTCTCTAAGGCCTTTCCAATGAATACATCTGAAAGAAACAGGAAGAGTAAGGACTTGCTTCTGCCCCGTGGGGGGAAAGTGGCCCCGTGGGAATGGCAGTTCCCTGTGAGGGACGTCCCCTTGCCCACAGTGCTTGGCCTTGGGTGGAGACCTCTGTCTGGCACCCTTGTTCCAGGCAGTGCCACTTGGCAGAAATGGGCTCTGGCCCTGCTCCCCAGAGACCGCCCCTGCTGCGCATGCTGCCCCTCCGACCTTGGCGGCATCCCCACCCCACTGGTCCACATCGCGTGTGCCTGCAACCCTGACCTTCACACAATTCCAATCCTGGCCCACTGGGTGGCCTTGGCCACTTCTTGTCTAATTCCTTCCATCTGTGGTTGTTGGAGGATCAGTCCTCAGGCCCCCTACTGCCCAAACAGAAGCATGACACTGGGCAGCAGTGGGAATTCCAGTGCTGGCAGGAGCCCTGGCTACTAGCCGCATGGCCAAGGTCAGTCTTCCCACAGGCCAGGCTCCCAGGCAGAGCTCTCCCCAACCCAGCTTAGCTGTACCAAATCCTCGGTCCTTCTCTCGGATTTCACTTCCCTTGTTGAACTTGTGGGGATCATCCCTTAACAGCTGACTCTACCAGCTTTCTTCTTGTTCAATTTTTATTTGTGGGGCTGGCATCATGGCATAGTAGCTTAAGCCTCTGCCTGCAGTGCTGGAATCCCAACTGGGCACCAGTTTGAGTCCTGGCTGCTCCACTTCTGATCCAGCCTCCCTGCTTATGGCCTGGGAAAGAAGCAAAGGATGGTTCAAGTGCTTGGGACTCTGCACCCACGTAGGAAATCTGAAAGAAGCTCCTGGCTCCTGATTGGCCAGCTTCAGCCACTATTGCCACTTGGGGAGTGAACCAACAGCAGCTGGAACTTGAACCAGCGCCCACATGGGCTGACAGAGCTGTAGGCAGATTAACCTACTATGTCACTGCACCGCCCCCACAAATATTTTTCTTGAATGAAAGTCCTAGATAGAAGAATAAGAATCTACAGAAGGGAGGGCCCGGCGCGCTGGTGCAGTGGTTAAGGTCCTCGCCTTGCACGCCCGGGATCCCATATGGGCGCCGGTTCTATCCTGGAAGCCCCACTTCCCTTCCAGCTCCCTGCCTGTGGCCTGGGAAAGCAGTCGAGGATGGAGCAGAGATTTGGGACCCTGCACCTGCATGGGAGACCCAGAAGAGGCTCCTGGCTTCAGATCAGCATAGCATCGGCCGTTGCACTCACTTGGGGAGTGAATCATCGGATGGAAGATCTTCCTCTCTGTCTCTCCTCTCTGTATATCCGCCTTTCCAATAAAAAAATAATAAAAATAAATCTTTAAAAAAAAAAAAAGAATCTACAGAAGGGAACTTGGGAAATAATCCCCAGGAGGACTTGCAGCTGGTAAATCCACGGCCTGTCACCAGGATCCTGTTTACGGGCGCCAGTTCACATCCAGGCTGCCTCAGTCCCGATGCAGCTCCCTGCTAATGGCTTGGAAAAAGCAGAGGAAGATGGCCCAAGCGTTGGGCTCTTGCTACCTGTGTGGGACCTGGCTCCCGGCAAACAGCTTCAAGCCTCTTTACCCTAGATCTGAATGCTTTGGCTAGCTTCATTTTCTTTCCTTTTTAATTTAAAAAAAGTGATTTATTTATTTATATTGAAAAAGCAGATTTACAGAGAAAAGAACAGAGAGGAAGAACTTTCATTTGCTGGTTCACTCCCCAGATGGCTGCCACAGTGGGAGCTGAACTGATGTGAAGCCAGGAGCCAGGAGGCTCCTCTGGGTCTCCCATGTACATGTAGGATCCTATGACTTTGGGCCATCCTCTGCTGCTTTCTCAGGCCACAAGCAGGGAAGTGGAGCAGCCAGGACATGAACCAGTGCCCACTTGGGATCCTGGTGCTTGCAAAGGGAAGATTAGCACCACACCGCCTTTTTAATTTTTAAAGATGTTATTTATATATTTGAAAGGCAGAGTTATACAGAAAGAGAACGATCCTCGACCCTCTGGTTCACTCTCCAGATGGCTCCCATGGCTGGGGATGTGCAAAGCTGCAAGTTAGCAGCCTGAGACCCCAAGCTCCGGGTCATCTGCTGCTGCCCTCCCAGGAGCATTAGCAGGGAGCTGGACTGGAAGTGGGGCAGCAGGATGCACGCCGGCCCCAGCGTTCCCTCCCCAGAAGCTGCTAGGACAACAGCCGTCCGGGGAGCTGCTTCTGGGTTTGCTGGGCCTTGGGGTTGTGGGGGCGCAGTTCCGGTACACCAGTGACTGCCTGGGCCTGGGTGGCCCCACGGGAAGTTGCTGATAATGGCACATGGAGAACGAACCGCTGCTTCATAACGCACGTGGTGGGGCTTGCTATGAACACAGTGCCCAAGAGACACCTTGGGACACCTTCCCCAGGGTATGGTCGTGAACCCAACTTCCTCCACAGAGCTCTTACTCCTAGAACCCAAAGCTTCTTTGCAAATCCACCTCTTACTAAAAGTAGCCACTGGCCCTGATCACAAGACATGAGGTCATTTTATCACCTCAATTGATAATGTTTTCATGCTCGCACTTGTCTTAAGGCTGTTTCCAGGAACCCTGGGTCCTGAGCAAGAAGGAACTATAAGATAGCAGCAGCACAGTGGTGTAGCAAACTAAACCTCTGTGGTGTTGGCTTCCAACAAGGGCAGAGGTTCAAGTCCTGGCTGCTCCACTTCCCGATCCAGCTTCCTTGATTATGGTCTTGGGACCATGCAACCATGGGAGACGCAGAAGAAGTTCCTGGCTCCTGGCTTCTTATTGTCTCAGCTGAAACGTCAGCAATAGCTGCCCAGTTCCTTGCTCTGCACTTGACAAATAAATACATGCTTTCTTCCTCCGCCATAACGTCCCAGCCGTCCTGTGGGACAGACTGTGGAGGCAGGTAGCGGGAGTCCAGGAAAAGCAGGGCTAAAAGAGGGGGACAGCTGGACAGCAGGATGAAGTGCCCAGTGCAGCACACACCTCCACTCCCCAGCGCCCAATATCCCATACCAGATAAATCTCAGGATGAGGTGGGGAGGGGGGAGGAACTGGAAGAGATGAGCTGTGTCATGAACCCACCTCTGCATGGATTCCTCCGTTTCTGGTCCCCAGCTGCCAGACTGCCGGAGCGAGTGGAGGCACCTCACCTGGAGCTTCCTTCGAGGTGCTCTGCTGGCTGGCTGAGGCCCTTGTGCACACCGAAGATGAGGAACACGAACGTGATGCCTCGGTTCTTGAAGTTGGACCCGGCACGGCTCCCACCTCGGCACCTCAAGATGTTTGTGGAGGGTGGCAGGTGTTCATGTGCTGCCCAGGGACACGTCCACGCCAACACTGCAGGGGAGGCACAGGGAGGGCAAGGGAGGGTGGGGAAGGGAGAGACTGCAGGAAGTGATCACAGGATGCTGGACATCCAGTCACAGCCCGGCTGCAGGGAGGGTAGTGCCCTCGGCCTGCTCTGGTCTTACCTCTCAGCCCGTCCAGAGGGCACCAACCCCATGCATCGTGGGCCACCTGCAACCTGATCAGTGCAGAAACTGGCTCAAAAGGACAGAACATTGCATGATCTCATCGGTCTTGTCTGTCTGTCAGTGCTTTTGTCTGCCGAGCACGGACACGTCATTCTATACTCTCCAACACGGGGGCGATGGCCAATCCCATCTCCCTGGATGCCTTTAGGTAGGACGTGTGGCTGCCCACCACCTCTTCCTGCTTGTTAAGTCAAGTGTCTTTGGCTGGTTAGGCTCTGGATGGGATCGCCCAGCTCTGTAGCACTTCCCCATGCAGTGCCGCGTCTACAG